GCCGTTGTTAACGACCTCATTCTCAGGAAATTGCAGTGTGCTGCTGTTGATGGGCTTCCCGTCCTTTCTTACCAGCAGTTACTTACCGCATGGCAGGCACGCTGGCCAGAACGCTCAGTCGGTAACCTGGCAGCACCCGAGGCTGCTGCTGCTTCTCTCCCTGCAGGGGAGCCCCTGAGTAACAGCGGCTGGCGGCCCGGTAAACAGCGGCTGCCGCTCAGCGAACGCCATACCAAGTACTTTACATGTGTGAACTGCCACAGCCCCATGGCTGGTATTTCCTGTCCTCGCTTTAAAGATGGAGAAGCAGGCTTAGCGAGATTAAGTACCAGGCCGTGCTGTCAGGACCAGGGCAGAGCAGGAGGCTCAGGGCTGGCCGAGCTGCATTACTGTGGCTGCAAAGGCCGTTTGCGCCGTGCGGGCTCCCCTGCTCCTGCTGTACCCTCGTCACTCCGTTAACGCTCAGCTCACGGAGCCCTGTGAGCACTGGTGGGCTCCATGCTTGCAGATTAGAGTCTTCTCATCCCAGGCCCTCAGGGGCCAGTTCTGTTACACACAGAGCTGCTTTTGAGGCCGAGAATAGAAATGCTGAGCTGTGCTCGTGCAGGGGCGGCTGGAGCCCGTCCGTGCAGCTCTCCCTCTTCCAGCTCCACAGGCTGAGCTCGCGGTCTCTGGGTGGGTCTGGCCTGGAGAGGCAAGCCCCCTCCGCGTTCACCCAGAGCCCTCCCTCAGAGAGTGGGTCTGCATCATTTCCCCACCGTAGTCGGTCCTGACTTGTGACCACAGGCAAGTTCCCTCCTCTGAGGAATGCTTGGGCGTGCCATTCAGCAGTATCTTCATTTCCTCTGCTCCTCCCGTTACCTCCACGCCCCCGCCATCACTCGCGGTCGCCCTTTGCTTTTCTTCTTTGGTTGTGCATCAGTAACTGCCTATCGGATGAAGAATGAATAGAGGGCACTCACGAACTGAACTGCTGGTCACCGCTGGCCCTTCGCTTTTAAACTCATCTCAGAAGCGACCGTTGTGTTTGGTTTGTCTTTCTATGGTTTTCTCTGTCCCTCGGCTGGCTGGCTCAGCCAGTGTGCTCCAGGCCGACTTAGTTGCTGGGGAGGGAGAAGTGAACAAGCAGGCGCTTTCGTGCCCTCGTGGGCTTGTAGCCTGCTCAGCAGAGACAGACATTGCAGCACAAGGCCCCACTGAAAGGCAGGCTTCTCAGGAGTGGGAATCTTCATCGTGTTCACTGCTGTATCTCAGCGCCGTGCTGCCACGTGGTAGACACGTACTATTTGTTGAGTGAATGAATACATGAGTTACGCAGAAAAATAGAAAAATCCAAAATTATGATCTTTGCTCAAAGTTGTAACTTCATTCTAAAGCAGAGTTAAAATCTCCACAGCTGATCTTATTTGCTCATGAATGTCACATGAGCTCATTTACTTGGACTGTTTCTAAGCTGTTCGTACCAGCAAACACGTGTGTTAATCTCGTCGTCTACCTCCTATGACGTAGGCGTGGGCATCAGGGACAGGCCCCCAGCTGCTCCTTGCTTCTCTGTTAACAGCAAACCTTGGGTACCATGGGACGTTCTGCCTGCTTATCATAGTGCATGTTATCTTAGGGACCCACCTGACACCTGCCGGGTGAGTGAAAAGTCGGTGTAGATGTGCCATTGACTGCCTGGGACCGGGCCACAAGCTTCAAAGTCCTGAGGCGACACTACTGCTGAGTTAGTGGGGAGGAACGGCTGCACTTGCCAGCCGCCAGAGACGCTGGTTGTGGTAATGTCCCAGTAGTCCTTTAACATCAATGACACGCTTCAGGTCTCATAGAAACCCTTAACGTAAACTACACACTTCGGGTCCCATGGAAACCCTTAACATAAACGACACACTTCGGGTCTCATGGAAACCCTGCCAGGTAGGCCCCACAACCCGCTTTGTCGGTAAGCAAGAGGAAGTCCGTTTTCTCCTCCCTTTGAGGATGGCAGTGGTTTCTTCCTTCCCCACTGATGCTGGACTCCTCACCTCCTCGATCCCTGGCGTCTCCTTACATAGCACCCAAAACTGCAGGTACAGATAATGTACACAGTAACGCAGGTGATCCCTGCCCTGGGCGGGCTGGCTCAGCCAGTGTGCTCCAGGCCGACTTAGTTGCTGGGGAGGGAGAAGTGAACAAGCAGGCGCTTTCGTGCCCTCGTGGGCTTGTAGCCTGCTCAGCAGAGACAGACATTGCAGCACAAGGCCCCACTGAAAGGCAGGCTTCTCAGGAGTGGGAATCTTCATCGTGTTCACTGCTGTATCTCAGCGCCGTGCTGCCACGTGGTAGACACGTACTATTTGTTGAGTGAATGAATACATGAGTTACGCAGAAAAATAGAAAAATCCAAAATTATGATCTTTGCTCAAAGTTGTAACTTCATTCTAAAGCAGAGTTAAAATCTCCACAGCTGATCTTATTTGCTCATGAATGTCACATGAGCTCATTTACTTGGACTGTTTCTAAGCTGTTCGTACCAGCAAACACGTGTGTTAATCTCGTCGTCTACCTCCTATGACGTAGGCGTGGGCATCAGGGACAGGCCCCCAGCTGCTCCTTGCTTCTCTGTTAACAGCAAACCTTGGGTACCATGGGACGTTCTGCCTGCTTATCATAGTGCATGTTATCTTAGGGACCCACCTGACACCTGCCGGGTGAGTGAAAAGTCGGTGTAGATGTGCCATTGACTGCCTGGGACCGGGCCACAAGCTTCAAAGTCCTGAGGCGACACTACTGCTGAGTTAGTGGGGAGGAACGGCTGCACTTGCCAGCCGCCAGAGACGCTGGTTGTGGTAATGTCCCAGTAGTCCTTTAACATCAATGACACGCTTCAGGTCTCATAGAAACCCTTAACGTAAACTACACACTTCGGGTCCCATGGAAACCCTTAACATAAACGACACACTTCGGGTCTCATGGAAACCCTGCCAGGTAGGCCCCACAACCCGCCTGCCCCCCCCCAGCCGCCAGAGACGCTGGTTGTGGTAATGTCCCAGTAGTCCTTTAACATCAATGACACGCTTCAGGTCTCATAGAAACCCTTAACGTAAACTACACACTTCGGGTCCCATGGAAACCCTTAACATAAACGACACACTTCGGGTCTCATGGAAACCCTGCCAGGTAGGCCCCACAACCCGCTTTGTCGGTAAGCAAGAGGAAGTCCGTTTTCTCCTCCCTTTGAGGATGGCAGTGGTTTCTTCCTTCCCCACTGATGCTGGACTCCTCACCTCCTCGATCCCTGGCGTCTCCTTACATAGCACCCAAAACTGCAGGTACAGATAATGTACACAGTAACGCAGGTGATCCCTGTGAATGGATGTTTCTGGGCCAGGAACTGTCCAAGTGCTCTCCTTATGTGTTTTTCGTGTGCTCTTCTTAGCAGTCTTGTCAGGGGTTAGCTTTACACTCATTCTGTTCACGAGGAGCCTGAGGCTCCGGAAGGGGCCGATAGTCTCCCCAGGTCGCAGGGCTAGGAACCGGTGGTGCTGGCGGTCCCGACCTTCAGATTCGAGCACTCTACTTCACAGCACCAGGCCACTTGCACGCAGCGAGTGCTCTCCGTAAAAACTGCAGGTAATTACAGATAGTGGTGTTGGTAAGAAACAGGCTTCACGGGGGCCTTACAGGGCCGACCAGGTTGGTACCGTTCTTTGAGATGTGTGTATGACACCCTTAGCGCTGACGGTGTGCAAATTCACTGTCAGTGTCGCTGTTATGTAGCAAACTTTTGTCCTTAGGTATTTTTTAATCCCTCATTTTGGAAAATACAGAACTATCTTGTGGGGAGTGGTCAGCTGAAAAATTGTGCTTATTTAGAGAAGTTGGAGCCTCTGGTTGGGCTCAACTGACACTGTAACTGAGCCAGTCGTGGAAGGCCCATCTGCTATCCAGCTTCATTCCTCGTGCAGAGTTCCCGTGCTTCCCTCCTCTGCTTCTGCTGGGTTACAGGCTGAGGCAGTGAGACCGAAGTGTGCTCAAGGGGAGATCCAGGACGAGGCTGTCATCCCCTGGAAAGACCAAAGTACACGTCCGAGCACTGCTACTTCACAGTAATCTCAGATGCAAATTAGTAGTTGTTTAAGCCAACTATCTTGTAGGTCTCCTGTATTATTTAGAGAATATGGTGTAATATGATGCTCAAGTACTCAAGATTTCTGAGAAGCTTTATAAACTCTAAAAAGGTGGGATTGGGAAGGAAAAGCAGCAAAACATGTGATTAAACAAACTCGACCCAGCTTTAGGCATGTGGCACATTCGATGTGGCTGAAAGTCCTTTGTCTGTAGGCCATTTGATGGCCACCATTAGAAGAGGCTTGTTTTCCTACCCCTTTTCTACAAGCGCGGTCTAATTGGTCAGCATGGCTCTTTCCTGGGGACGTGGCCCGTGGTTCCCTAGTACCGTCTCCTGTGAGGTACAAGTCTGTTCTCATAGGGTCTGAGCACTAACATCTACACCTCTGAGTGGTTTTGATAAGAGGAGCCTGCTTAGTGATTTCGCAGGTGCAAATTAAGAAATGGAGGCCTAGGGACCAGCAGATGGTGGAATGGTTATGTTGCTGGATTCCCACGTAGTCAACTGCGGTTCGAGTCCCAGACCCGGCAGCTTAAGACTCATGCCAGGTGCATGTGCATGTATGTCCAAGATCCTGAGAGGAGAATGGAGAAGGGATTATGGTGTGGCCATCCTCCCGGGGGGTGATTTCTCGCTTTCTGTCTCTCTCTTTTCCCAGCGAGCTCATGTGCCATATAGCAAAAATTTCTCTTAAAAAATATGGAGGCCTAAATTATGGTGCACATTAAAATTTCATATGGGACATTGTCATGGAGACCGACCCGTGCATTGCTGTGATCGACATCAGGATTTTAGGCTGGTTATAATGCTACATGCATGTTGTGTGTGTGTAAACAGGACATTACTCACTGAAGCTGACCTGTCCTATTTTTTTATAAACTGTTTGCAGCATCAGCGCCAGCAGTAGTTCCCAAGGGCTGTCTCAGCCGTCCACCCAGACGACTCAGTATCTGAGAGCTGACACACCCAACAATGCGACTCCTATCACCAGTAAGAGTTAATTAAATTCTGAAGCTGGTTGCCACACTGTCTCTCACCTGCTCGTGGTCCTGCATGGGTAGGGCATCTCTGGCACTGTGTACTGTGCTGTGCACCAAGTATCCAAGGTGCATGAAATTAGGCATGATTTCCAACTTTTTCTTCCTAGAAAATGGAATGAACTGTTCTAAAATTGGAGTATTGAAAATAAAGTTGAGTTACTAGAATCAGCTTTACTTTGGAGAGATTTCTGTAGATTATTATTAAGAAGACTCACAAATATAGAAATTCAGAAGGAAGATTTCAAGGTAATTATGTGGAATAAGACATCGAGCTACATAAAGAGATTGGATTTGAGTGCGTTGTTTAATGCTCCTCGGGCCACGGTGAATAGGAGAATAGGAGTTTTCTACTCTGAATAGGAAACTAGTTTCCATTGGAGTATTGAGCACGAGATCTGACTTTGCTATTTTTGAATAGGATTTTGATTGAAGTTTTTATATACTTGACAAATTATAATTGCATACATGATGAGATATATATGCAATACGAAATAAAAAAATTATTCTGAGAGTATAGTTTAAACAGGATGAGGAATCAATTGCTATACAAATAAGAAGTAACAAAATCATTAGAATAGAGAGTGGGCCAGAGAGCCACATGGCAGGGCTCGCTTGATGGTGCGGTTATTGCTTAGGTATTAATAAGGCAGCGAGCTGTTACACGGTTGCCTTCCTGGCCTGCATTTACTCTTCAGTAAAGTAAGGTTAAGAATACCTTTCTCCAGTGCCCCGTTACAGTTTTTCAGAACCGTTTCCCATTAAGAAGCAGCAGAATTCTTTGCAGAAGTGGCTGGTTTCAGGTTCGGGTCAGGAATTAAACCAAATGAACCTGGACATGCCACTGAGCAAGGTACGGAGGAGCTGCTCCAGATTCAGAGCTCCCTGACCCTGTGCCCTTGCTTGTGCCAGTATGTGCAGGTCACCCCGGAGCAAACCTGTCTCCCATAGGGCCTCAGCGTCATAGATCAGCGTGTTCACACTCCACTGTGGCTGGCCTATAGTGACACTTGTTTAAAACATAATTTTCATTGTGGGCAGTATAACCAAGACTCCAGCAATGCCTTACCATGACACCTGGCTTTATGGACTGTATTTCAGGACAACCAGGTAGTGCTGGTCAGTGAGGGGAAATGTTTCTCTATAGAAAATTCCCAGTTAATACATGGAAGGAATGATAGAATTAGAAATTCATATTTGTAAGCCCTAATAGAATATTTGAGGGAAGATCATCAGTGATTAAAACCCTATGAAATGAAGGAAATAGGGAACTTTACCATTGAGGGATCAAGCTATCGTGTCTGAATCCACTGATAGAACTTGGCATTACTGCAATGGGGTCATTAGACATTTTGTACTCCAGGATATGGCGAGTCATCCCCAGAGCGTTCTTTCCCCCTTCCCTAATCCTCAGAAGTTAACGTGAATCCCATCGAGGTTGCAGAACTGACCCGCAGTTTGCAGGAAACAGAGTAGAGGGGAGGTTGAGTGATACTGGAGAAAGCAGCTACCAGACATTCTCCAGGATACTCCAAGGTGGTCCAGGTTTTAATAAGACAGTAATGAGAAAAGGGGAGGGAAGGTGCCATTCTAGATGAAAAGAAGCAGGAGAGAAACCGTAACCGCAGCTGCCATCACCACCGATGAGAGAAAGAAATTCTTGCTCATCAGGACATAACCGTGGTGATATGGAATTTAAAGTTTCAGAAAAGTCACATCATTGCTTTTTTTTTTTTTTTTAATTTATGCTTATTCATTTATTTCTTCTGTGAGAAGGAGAAACACAGATCCCCAATAGTCTTCTAACCACTGTCCCCACTCATCTCAGCTGACCCAGGTCACTTATGTGCACACGTGCCTGTGTGTTCAGGGAGGCCCCAGGTCACGGCCCCGGACATCCCATGTGGGCCCAGTCACATTATCGCTGTGCCGCCATGCCATTGCTTCTGGTGGTCAGACGTCAAACTTTGCTTAAAAATAGATTCTTAATTTTGGATATGACTTGACAGAGGTAGATAATTCAGTTATCATGTATGCTAAAAATTTTGGAATAAAAATGGACTTACCTATTTATTTAAAAATTTTTTTTGTTGTCATCAGTAAAAAATTTGTTTTTAATTGTGGGCATTACCTTAAGGAGCTAAATAATTCAATTATTGTATATGCTAAAAACAAAGTACTTTTTTAAAAAGTCAATAGAAACAACTTTTTTTGAAAATAAAAAGAAAGGGGCAGACAAAATACTTGAAGACTTAATGGCCAAGAATTTGCTAAGATAACAAAACACAACATACCACAGATCTAAGAAACTAGAACTCCACGCGGGGTTAAACATTCATGAATGCTCACATGCACTCCCACATCTAGACCACAGTCAGTTCACTGATCAGACCCACATCTAGATGTATCACAGTCAGTTCAGTGATCAGTCCCACATCTAGACGTACCACAGTCAGTTCAGTGATCATCAGTCCCACATCTAGTACCATGGTCAGTTCAGTGATCAGTCCCACATCTAGACATACCACAGTCAGTTCACTGACCAGTGGTTTAGGTGTTGTCGGCATACATCCATTATGAAGTTCCTCCAAACCTTCATGTAGTTGCTCTGGAGCCTCCGTGGTCATTGCCTAGGTCCACTAGTTCCTTGGGGCGGGGGGGGGCTTTATCCCATATTTCCCATAGCATAGCTAATAAATGATTAAAGATACCATTCCAATTTCTGTTTGCTCACTGATTTTTCCTTATAGCCTAACTTATTTTGGAGTGAAAACTTAAATTAATGGCGATTAATTTTATTTTTGTTGTCATGCTAAAAATAAAGGGGAGTTAAGGGAACTTAAATAAATTTGAATCTCACAGTGGTATGATCAGATTGTGAGAGTACTAGAATAATAAATCAATCATGTATTTTGTTAGAAAAATATATTTTTTAAAACATCTCTATTTAAAAAGTAATTTTGTTAGGAGCTAATACTAGAAAATATTTTGGGAGAAAAACTAAGAGGGATTAAATTATTTTTTTAAAATCAATTTTGCTATGTTTGTTTAAATTTAATTTTATTTATTCATTCATTTATTTTAATTTGACTAGAGAGAGAGACAGAGGGAGAGAGAGGGAAAGTGAGAAAGCAAGCCACCAGGTCAGGGGCTCAAACTGTGGTCGGCCATGTGGGAGTGTCCAGCACCTTAACCAGCATGCCACTGCTGGCCCCCAAGAGGAATTAAATTCTGCGAGTCAAAGCTTGTTGCATTTGTTCAAAAGGCAATTGAGTGGTATAACGATCATGTCAATTTTCGGGTTTCCTGTTTTAATGGAGCTTTTTAACGTTTTGGAGTAGTGCTGTGCAGTGGGAAAGCTCTTCTCTGTTCGGTGTGGCCTTCGTAAGCCCCTGTCCCAGTCCCTGCTCATGACTGTCCTGCTGTGCTCCCCTGTCCGTTTACCCTGTGACTTGAGCTCTGCCGTCCTCGCTGAGTTAGCTGACTCTGCCGTGCTCAGGGTATTTACGTTGCTTGGTTTGGCTTTGTTGGCTCCTCAGGTTATCCTACCTTGCGGATAGAGAAGAACGACTTGAGAAGTGTCACTCTTTTGGAGGCCAAAGCCAAGGTGAAGGACATAGCGATATCCCGGGAGAGGGTAACCCTGAAAGATGTACTCCAAGAAGGTATTTATTATCTCAGTCGTTTTCCAAGTAAGACTTCATGTTATCACGTAAAACGTTGTTTCGTTCATATCGTTTTAAAAATTTATCTCAGTTTGCGTCTTAAGGATAAGAAACAGTACACAACTTACTTGTTTTATGAAAGTGAATTTTCATTTTCCCTTTCTTTTAGACTTTAACGTGCCTTACAGAGCTTTGCTACAGTTACTTGACTTTCAAGTGTGTTAAAGCATATTTGTGAGTGAGCGTTACCTTAAAGATATAATTTGCATTTAGTTCTTTTTTAAATGAGCACGACCTAGCAGATCTCTGAAATATTCTAAGTCATGTTCTCTGACAGAGAGCAGGTGGGGTTATAGCAGAAGGAACGTGCATGGGTTTTGGAGTTAGACTCAGGCATTTCCTCGATTTATTACCTGTTTGGCCTTGGAGAAATGACTAAATGTTTTGATCTTCACGCTCCTCTTCTGTAAAATTTATTCATTTTCAGTGACCATTTCATTAGGAATTGCAAAATGGTTAATAAAATTTTCATAGTTCATTACTAACTTTCTTTCCCCCCAAAAGACTGTAAGGTTTCTTCTTACAGTAAGGGTGTGAGGAGGAGAGACGGACGTTAGTTTTCCTGTCTGTTTACAGCACAGACCACTGCGTGATCGCAGACGTAGGATGTCTCTGCAAGCAGGCAGCAGGCAGTGCTGCCGTGGGCACCCGCTGGGCGTTTGTCATCCAGCTCGGTTCTGAGGCTGAGACCATCTGGAAGTCCGGACCTGCAGGACTTCTGACTGACTGGTCACAAGTTGGGTTTCCATGACCACGTCTTGCTGAGCTGAGAGTAGACGCGTGCTTACTGGTTCCTTACCTAGAGTAACCTGAAGAGTACAGACGCAGAGAGACGCAGGGCCAGGTCCTCCCAGCGAGGAGCGCTCTCTCCGTGCAGTGGGCTCGTGTCCTCGCGGCACACGAGGGCCCTTCCTGTGAGGCTCCGTGCGTGCGGCTCTAGAAGCGCTCCAAACCCTGCCCCTTGGGCTTTCCGTGGAGACACCATTGCACAGGCATGGCCGTCGTGGACAGCCTTGCGGGGAGGGCTTGGAGTACCGAGGGCGCGAGCTGAGGTGGGCAGACAGCGGGGAAACCAGCACGGCCTCTGACACAGGTTGGCCCTGACCCTCTGAGCACGTTCCTTCCTCTCAGGAAAGGGCCCGACCCCTTCTGGATGAGGGTCTTCGTTTCTTTTATGAGTAGAATTCAAGACAGAAGGTGGAGAAAGAGTAGAGTGTTTCAGTTTCTGGGCCCTGACCTGGAAAACGTTAGGAACCAAAAGCCAACCAGCATTCCTGAGCCAGGAACTGGACACAACCCTGTGTTTTTGACCGAGGGAGCTTCGTAGAACACACGGCAAACGTATATTATGAAAAGTATGCATAGATTTCAGAAATGTTTTTACAGCGAATTAACTCATGCTTTCATTCCATTTTTTATGAATTTCTCGAAATCTCCATGTGTATTACCGTATCACAAAGAGTTTTTATGAACACATTTTTCCAGTGGCCTGAGAAGCTTAAGTGGCTTATCTGATACTTTCTAAGTAGAAAGTGATAGAAGGATTAGAAACCAGGGCTGTTGGATTCCAAGGCTATATCCCCTGGCCTTCTCTTGACGCTCCTGTTTTTGAGCTCTGCGGGGTGAGCTGTTCGCCTTTCATCAGGGTCCTGAGGCTGAGCTGTAAATGCCTTTGTGGGCCCATTCTGCGCTCTAGCACACTGCCCGTATCATTGGTTTACTTGGGGTGATTCAGAAAAATTCTCTTATACTTAGTATAGCTATCGCGCTTAGAAAACCAAGATGTTTCGTAGTTACAAAGAAGTAACAGTTATTAGCAGCCAAAGATTTTGATCTTTTTACTCTAAGGTCAGAGTAATGCTTTGATCACCTGTGCCCTTGTTATGCTTGTTTTAGATTATATTTTCCCAGAAAGTTTCATACCGTACTTTTACGAAGGTTATCATATGGTCTCATAATTATTATTTTTCCTTTTAGGTACTTTTGGGCGTATTTTTCATGGAATTTTAGTAGATGAAAAGGATCCAAATAAAGAAAAACAGGCATTTGTAAAAACAGTTAAAGGTAGGATTTTTTTGCCATACTATTTTCTTAATGCTTCCTGTCTCAGGCGGCTCGTATGAGCAGAATTCTCTCTCAGTTTCTCAGTGTGCACACATCGTATTGCATTTCTAACACAGGGTCTCTCAGCTCTCCTGCCGCAACCTCCCAGGTAGCAGGGACTGCAGAGTGCCCGCTCATGAGGCTTTAGGGTGGCCAGGGGCACTGGGGCCTCCTGTGTGGCTTCAGCCTGCCACGTAGCCACGTCCACCTGTGTGCACGGCCCCGGCTGCTGTGCACGGCCCCGTCTGCTGTGCACCTGACCTCCCGATTCGGCCTGCTCTGTTAGTTTAGTTCACTCGGTGCTTTTAGCTGTGTGCGTTGTTCTCATTAGGTAAAGAAGATCGGAATGTGATGAATTCAGACATTTATTGGGTGCTGTTCAGGCTGCTAGCTGAACTGCATCCACTTAACTTCATTCTTCTATCTGATGCGTGGTTTTTCTAGAGAAGTCCTTTGGTACCTTCTCTTTTACCCCCTTAGACAACGTCACGAGTTTTCATCTCCTGATACTGAGGGCTAGAAAGTAAGAATTAACACGACCCCAGGCCCTTAGTGCCTCACGTTTTAATAACTAGCCACCATTTACCTTTCCTCGTCCCCTTCTTCCCTTGTGATGCTTTAGGAAATGCCCGTGGGGTGTGTATGTGTGTGAGGGTGGGTGTGTGTGTAAGGGTGTATGTGTGTGTGTATGCGTGTGTGTGTGTGTGTGTGTGTGTGTTGATATATTTTGCAGGAATAGCCATAGTTGGGATTGTTGTACCTAGGGATCATTTAAATTTTTCATATTGTCAGATTGTTCTTGAAAGTATAGCAGTAATTTAGATTTTCACCAGCAGAATATCTTTTTACACATATTTTTCCTTTGGGCCATCTTTTGAAATGTGATGTTACTGATTTATATAAAAAGTATTAAATTAGAGATTCCCCATCAAAATACTACAACATTATTTATATGTGGCTCATTCTGTAATAAATTAGCAAATCTTTTAAAACTTAGAATTTTTGATATTTGATATCTGTTATTTGTAAAAGCTTAAAAAATGCTTAGTTAAATCTATTTCATTTTGAGAGAAGGAAAAATGTGTTGATTTATAGGGCGCTTAATGTCTGTTGGTGTCTGATATAGGTAGAAATGACAAAGTAATTTCTTCTTTTTTTTGGGAGAGATTTTTGCTATAGGGCACATGCACTTGCCAGAAAGAGAGGCAGAAAGCCAGAAATCACCTCGGGGGGCGGGGGTGGAGTGAGGGGATGGCCACGCTGCAATCACTTCTCCTCCATTCTCCTCTCGGGATCTTGGGCATGCATGCACACGCGCCCAGCATGAGTTTAAGCCATCAGGTCCGGGACTCGAACCGCAGTCAGCTACATGGGAGTCCAGCGACATAGCCATTACACCAACTGCTGGTCCCCATTATTTATTATTTTAAAGAGAGACTTTTGCTGTAGGGTACATGTACTCACCAGAGAGACAGACAGAGATAGAAAGTGAAAAACCACCCCCCAGGGATGACCACACCGCAATCCATTCTCCTTCATTCTCCTCTTGGGATTTTAAGCACACACCCACACATGGCTTGAGTTGCAATCCACGGGGTCCGGGACTCAAACCACAGTTGGCCATGTGGGAGTCCAGCAATGTGACCAGTCCGCCATCTGCTGGTCCCTAAAGTAAGTTATTTCTTAGTGAGAGAGAACGTGGGGTGGTGATTGAAAAAGAGAGAGGTATTTTTAGCAGGGTCTCCCCTCTGGGCTCCTCTACCCCAGCCTCCCAGTGGACATGAACAGCACTGCACCTGGTCTGTTTGGGCTGGTCCAGTTTCGAACCTGACTGCCACGTGGTTCAGCCTTGTGTAGGGACTCCCTGCTGCTGGGCCGCGATGTTAATTCTGAAAAACAAATTCAACACGCTGCAGAAACTGAGGGGAAAATTACTCAGTTTTAGTTGTAGGAAATGACAACATTTTATAAGGTTTACAGAGTTAATTTATAAGGACCATGTTTCTAAATTTACTTAACAGAATCATGGAACACATGAAGGGTTTGTTTCTTGTTTCTAAAAAGTTGGGTTTTACCAGACTAGCAGATACAGTCTTTGGAATTTAATTGACCTTAATTTAGTAAAATTACTTGTTTTAAGACTACTGCAAATACATACACATATCCATTTATCTCTTCTAAACAAATGGTTTAATGTACTGGTTTGTTCAGTATTTTATTTACCCACCCCTTCCCAGCCCCAAAAACACTTCTAAAGTTCTGGTAAATTATCTGCCTAGTTAATATTTAAGTTAAGCTCCAGGAGATGTTCTGAGGCTAGTTTGTATACTACTTTTGGTAAATGTAAAACTCAAACCATAATGACGAAGCAACTGCCTTTGTTACTTTTTCCACTTTATTAGGAAAACATTTCCCCTTAATTCTGTTACTCCAGACTGCCATAGGGTATGGACAGTTTAGAACTGGCCTATTGCTGACTCGTCTTAAGTGAATTTTGAACAGAGAATTGGGTTGGTTTAGGTTGGGAGGGGTGAAGAAAGGAAGTAGTGATAGGGAGACACAGCGCAGGTGCCGGGACTGTCTCACAAGATAGGGTTTCTCTCTCCGTGTACACTCGAGCTACAGCCACGTGGTATTTTCTTCACCGTAACCACCACCACCACCACCCCCCCACACACACACAACTGTATAGCATTTTCTCTGAGGCGAGCGGAAATAAGAAAAAGCACAGTGCGTCCTAAAAAAAAAACAAAAAATCTGGTATTCTGTCTTCCTCAGTTGTGTTGATAAATGGCCAGCAAGTCTATGAGGAAGGATCAGAGGAATGTTTAGCCTACATACTTGTGTTGCAGGATATTTCTTCAAGGACATCTGGCTTCCCTTTAATTAATAGGCTCTGAGTTTGTAAACTGACATAGCTATAAAATGCTAGGAACTGTTATTTCCATTGTAGTAGCTAGTTATCAACTGCCAGTCTTTGTTGGTTAATAGGTTAAGTAACAATCCTGGTTGGCTGTCCATCTTTCTCACTCCTTGAAACATAGTTATCTATTGGTCATCACCACAGGCCCCTGTGGGATCAAACACTGATTATTCTGGTCTACCTTGCTGTTTGCTATGGTCCTTTTACCCACATTGCCTCTGATATGTAAGTGCCACCACCTAGTCTCTGCCATTTAGAAACTTTTACCAGCAAGTAGGAAAACCAGTTCCATGCCACTGTCTTCTACTGTCAACCCTGAAATACTGAGCTCTCTCACTCATGGGTTCCTCCTGTCTTAGTAAAGAAAGTATCCTCTGGGCTTTTCAAGGAAATAGAATCAGGTGGGTTCTCCTGTCTTAAATTAAAAATCTAGTCAAAATTTCCTCATGTGGAGCCATTGGACCCTTACTTTAATACTATTCCAAAGCATTCCTACTATCCCCATATTACCTTGTATGCTTCAAAATGTCACCTCAAAACTATACTAGAATTGGCTCCAGAAGCCCTTGCCAAAATGCTGAATCACAAGATGTTCCCATATCAGTAAAATTTCCTGTATTAGTCTTATATTCCACCACCACCACCACCCCCCCCCACACACACAACTGTATAGCATTTTCTCTGAGGCGAGCGGAAATAAGAAAAAGCACAGTGCGTCCTCAGCTAGGCTGTGGTCATGCTTTGCTTGGGGCCAGAGGAAGCGCTTGACCAGGGTCCTCACCTCACGGTTGCTGGAGAAATAGCTCCACGTGACTGAGCATCTCTGAGATGGACTCTTCTAGAATACTGTCTTGTGTTTTATCGTAACCACATAGAGCTGACGAAGCCCTGTGTGCTTCGTTACATGCTGCATGACCTTCAGAGTAAACTAGGGGAAGAAGTTTTTTTAGAGAACATTGACTTTCATCTTCAGATGTCAACAGGAATTTGGAATTTGGCTTTTTTTAAAAAAGTCATCATTTTGTACAGAGTCTTAATGGATCCTCTAATATAAATTTCCAGAGATTGACGTTAGAGCACTGATTCATACACAGTAAATATCGTGAAATTGAATTGTAGAAAATAAATGTATCACTTTAGGGTGGTTGACATTAAGTTCTTTTTTCTTTTATGGTTGCTAAATTTTTGCAGCTTTGGAAATAAGCAAGTGAATTTTTTTTTCTCATTTTGTGCTCTGTTGTCATTTTTAGAATATGTTATTTTATTGTACCCATTTCAAATTCCTTCTTTAAGATAGGCTTTTTACTATTTAAAATGGAAAGAGTAGGACTAGACTGATAAAGGTATCCAGGAAAATGAGTTTTTCTTACTAAATGGATGAAGTGTTTTTTTTACTCCAATTGAAAATTTGTTTCTTTCCCTTCTTAAGTTTATTCGTTCTGTGAAAAAGACAGAAATGGGTACCGTGACAGGGCCTCGTGCGGTTACCCACTCCCAGTCTCGGCCGGCCTGGTCACAAGCACACGCTCCTGTGCCCAGCATGCTCAGCAAAGTCCCAGGGCCTTTCCCGGGGTCCAGTCGTGTTAACACTCCGCCACTGCCCGGCTCCTGAACGTTTCCTTCGTTATCATCTGGTGCGCGCCACTCGCTTAATAGAACATGCTCATCAAAGTTACCTTGAAGAATGTGTAAAATCACATATCCTGAAATGACCTTTACTGTACTTGGGTCTTACCAACCAGGCAGGGGTCTCCAGCGATTACTGGTTTCAGTCCTAGAAAGCTCCTACTAGCCCCAGTAGGTCTGGTCAGAATTTCCTTGGAACTTACATAGGTTACAGAAAGAATCACAGAGGCACACAGACACACCCTGCCATTTGCTGCATGACCCCACATTTAAACAGTTGTAGACAGTTACCGGAGTTCATTATAGCAGACATTGGATGCAGCCCTTTTTCAGATGCCCCGTCTGGACTGTTCCAAGTCCTTGCTTTGTGTCCACCCGTTCACTTTCCTCTGGAAGGCTGGGGGAAGAGAAG